CATCTCTTTATCCTTGCATTTTAAGTTCTTCAAGTCATCAATCAATTCTTTCATTTATGTGATAGGCCTGCATTAAAAATAGACATTTACCACAAATTATAGGTATCTTATATTATTAGATACATTATTATAAAACATGTTTTAGTTAAGGAGTATTGATACTTCATGTGCAAAATGATGATATAAAACCATGATAAAAATGCACTTTTAAGTACTAATCAAAAAGCCATTAATTATGGCACAAATTATACATATAACTCATCTCCACTTATACTCCACCAATTATACCAACAACTTCACCAATTATATCAATAACTCACCTTCAGTTATACCAACAACTCCACTTATTATTTTCTTCTACCAATTAATTTAATGGTGGCTTTACACATCTAACCCTTCAAAACTCATTACTTTAACCTTAATTTCTTTGTTTTTTTCTTCATATAAACTCTCTTCGCCTTTTTCCTCATTGTATTCTCTCTCACTAACGTATTCTGATAGTCCATCCACAAGGTCATTATGAATTGCATTAGTTGCCAAAACATTTGTCACCGCAGTAATATCCAAAAACGTTACATTTAATATATTAAGCTTGAGAATGAGAAACAAACTCACAATCCAATATCCTTGCAGAATTCATTCTTGCAGTGCATTCATTAAAGAAATAAAAAGCATCATCAAAATTACCCGAATCACCATCATCTTTGACACATTCAAATGGCTGCATAGTGTGTTGAAAATCCTCTAGGGCTGGCAAATCCTTAAGTACTTTCCCAGACAATGAAACAACAACATGGTCAATACTATTCTCGTCGAAAAGAAAACGAGTTGTGCAGATTAAGACCCTTGCTGCTGTCAAATTTGTAAAAGTGCTTGTAGCATTATCAATTCCAATCAAACGGCCATAACGAGGTCCATAAAGATAGAGATAAACCAAAAAGATCAACTCAGCAAAAGCTATCAACATTAATAGCTTTATTATTATTATTATTATTATTATTATTATTATTATTTGAAAGGAGCTGATATAATTAATCGGAACATGAGTTTGTTCTGCCATCACATGAAAACCTAACATAACATCACACAAAAAGATAAACTGAAAACAATAAGCTGTCTAAACTGGAGGTTCCCAAGCTCCAGGAAAGCTATGAACATTGGAGTTTGCTACAAAGAATGCAAGAACAGGACAAAGAGCAGACAAAGAGCAGACAAAGCTCGGATCACCTCTGCTGAGATCTGACTGCTTGAGATCCTCCCCTAGAAAAAACAGCAATAGCTTTATAGCGCCAGTAAAGATGAAAAAAACATTATAGCGCCAATATAGGTGAAGAAAAGCGAAAAAAGTTACCTAAAAACAAAAACAAAAGCATTTTTTTTATCTTTTTTTTTTCAAATTTCTGCTCTTTTCTTTTTTTGAACTCGCTTTTTCTCACAAAGGAAAAAAGGCCGAGTCTTAATAATATACATAGGCAAAGTGAGAGTCCAAACAGTAAACAACATTTGTTTCAAGTCCTAGCCTAGATTGGCTCAGAATGCAAACCATGTTACAGAGGCCAATTCTTGGATCCTTGATTTTGCTAAAATTCAATTGAGAACTAGTGTCTAAAATTGAGTAGGCTTTAGCAAGCTGAGTTTAACCCTGACCTGTACCACTTGTGCTTGTAGATACGAACTTGTGCTCAATTATTGTCCTTTTTAGGTAATTGAGAGGGCTAAAGGTTCTAGGACAAAATATTACATAGCATAAAATATAGTGGTTGCAACTTGCAAGTATAATCCACCTAAAATAGAATGCAAAGTCCTTCAGGAGCTAACTAAAAATATTTGAGGGACTCTAGCATATGTTTTCCAAAGAAACGAAACACATTTAAATACATAATATAATTAATTCTAAATTTAAATAATAACAATAAAAATTGATAATAAATCATCAATATTTATCAACAAATATTTAAAAATTGTTATTTACAACCAGAAATATAATTAGCATTATCAATTCCAATCAAATGGCTATAACGAGGTCTAGAAAGATAGCGATAAACCAAAGAGATCAACCCAGCAAAAGCTATCAACAACAATTGCACCAGTTTAGCTATATGAGCAAAGGCAGGAAAAGAGGCTTGGACGGTGTTATTAGTATTTTGCATAGATGCTTCAAAGTTTAGAAGTTTTTCATGTAGCTCATCAAAGGAGATTGGAGTATCTCAAGCTTGTACTGCCCTAGCCAACTATTTGTATTCAGGATCAAGTCCCTCAAGAATTCTTTCTAAGAGATCTTCAATATCAACTAGTGCTCGAAGAATGGCAAGCTCATCATCTCAGGCTTTCATGGTCTGAAGGAACTCAGAGACACCCATCGATCCCTTTATGATTTGTTTTAATTGGTTTTTCACTTGCTTGATTCTGCCACAAGATGGTTTGGCATATGTATTAGCCAATATTGTCCAGGCTTCCTTTAATGTTTGTGCTTGAGCAATGAACAACATTATTGTAGGTGAAAGAGAACCAAGAATGGCATTGAGAAGTAGTTCATCCTGTCTCATCCATAGTGTGTAGTGGTTCCTTGAAGATTTGATGCTTGACAGGAAAGTGATCCATGAATGAATCGAAGGAGATCATATCCTATGAGTAGAGTCTGGAATTGAAGTTTTCAGGCTAGATAGTTGGTGGAGGTAAGTTTTAATGGTGTTTGGGCCGCTAACAGGAAAAAAAAAAAAAACAGAGCTAACAGAATTGCTTATTTTATTAAATCAATCAATCAGGTATATATACAACAAAAGATAACAAAGCTAACAGAATTGCCTAATCTTGACTGACAGAATAGCTCACATAATTTGCCTATACATTCGGTTGCGTATATGCTCGGGAGAATAATGCTGGAAGGTTGGAGAAAACAGATTGTACACTTGTTTGTTATAACAGTTATACACTGATTTGCACAGTGTGTGTTAGTGCATGTCTGTTAACTCTGTCCTATATATATATATATATATATATATATATATATATATATATTAGTTTTGTTTATAATTATAATGTAGTGGTAAGAGATTGTGAATGCAACATGTTGTTGATGCCTAAGCTGAATAGGTCCATTTTTAACAGAATAAAACCAATGCTATTTGATCTGCCTGGAAGATTTAAAATCAATGAGAAAAGGAAAATTGATGGTGAAAAGTGTTTTCAAAGCGTAAGATTTGATGTGATTGAGTAATCATTCATTGTTATCACATTTTCTTCTCCGTTACTTTACTATGAACTTTGGTGATTGTGCGATGTAGTTCTTCACTTTGGTATCATTGACATCCTCCTCCTCCAAGATTATGATATCAGCTAAAAACTAGAGCATGCATACAAGTTTTTAGCCAACCAGTTCATAGCAAAATCATTCATATATAAATGAATACATTCACAAGACATTAAAATCTCTTATCATTCTTGAATATATGAAAAGTTGCATTCATGTAAAAACTCCCCTTTTTAAACATCTATTTGAACTCAAAACCAATATAACAATATGTGAGTAAACTCACTTGCCAATTTCAATTAACTCATTAAACCATAGATGAATATGAAAACATAAGGATTAAATATTATTTTCTAAGACTACAAGGTTAAATTAATTATTTTCTAAATTAGATTATTGTTATAGGTTTCTGTAGATTTGAGCTATGCAAGTTTGGTATTTTAACAATGTTTATGTTTTTTTTGTTTATTTAATTTTAGTCCCAAACAATGTTTATGTTTTTTGTTTATATAATTTTAGTCCCAAATTTATTATTAATTGGTGTTGGTGTCCTGAAACTAATGACAAACTGGCAAGAAAAACAAAAGTTGTATATATAAAAAGAAGAAATGCAAAAAAATAGTAAAAACCATGCAATAATACATAGAAAGATTTTATAGTCAAAACTAGCAATGCTTTACTTATTAGACTAATTAAGGATGCTTTCGGAGCTTTCCTGTGTTTCGGTAATTTTCATCAATTATTTTAAATTATAACATTAAATGGTAAAGAACCAACTCAAATATTATATCCCAATCAATAATCTCTTCCTAGAAAACCAATTTATTTCTAACTAACATCAAGGATTTTCATTTTTTGAAGTGAGGAAAAAAAATGAAACAATATTCATCAAATTTTGTAACTTGAAAATATAAATTACGTCATGGATAAGAATTAACAACTAGGTTGTCCAATATAAATGCGGATGGAAAAAATTTCAAAGAGCATTCAATAAAACTTCCAAGCTTGGAAAATGATCTTCAAGCCCACAAATACATATCAACATGTCAGATCTTCGAGCCAACAAGTACCGTACTCATTTAGAGCAACTTCAAGCATCTGCATGTAAAATAATCTTGTACTCTCACCTCAATCGAAGGCTCCCGGACCTTAAAAAACCATCAAATTTTGATCATTGAGTGACACTAAAATGTTTGAAAAGAAAGTTAAACGTGCATCAAATTTTGATCATTTTGTTATTACGAACAAATTCCCATCACTTTCAATTAAAGAACTTACTTTATAATCAAAAAGGTTAATATCACATCTTTTTCATTTTTGCTTTAAAATATCGAGTTTGAAATAAAATATAAAAACATTATTCAATTTTTTTATTTTAATGTAAAAAAATAAATTTTCAACGTTTTCTAGATAAATTAAAGTGATTTTAATAAAATATGTTAGTGATTGTTGGCTTTTTGTTTTTTCAAAAAATTATTATTAAAGCTATAATTTATTTTTTTAAGTGATATTCGATAGATCTAATTATTAAAGGTAATATTTAATTTTTATATTAAATAAAAAGAATATTATCATAAAATCAAGAAAAAAAATAAAACCAACCAGACTCTAAATATTTAATAAAAAATATTTTTAAAGATAATATCTAATTATTTAGATTAATAAAAAAAATTTAATATCACATCGTTTTCATTTTTGTTAAAGATAATATTTAATGTTTTAGATTAAATAAGAAAAATAAAATAATTACAGATAAAATTTAATCTCTTAAATTAAATAGAATAAAATAGAAATAACTAAAGGAAATATGCATTCTTACCAAAAAGCCTTAAATATATAATATTTTTTTTATTAAAAATGATATTTAATTTTTTTATATTAAATAATAATAATAATGGAATCATTAAAGATAATATTTGATCTCATAAATTAAATATAATAGAATAAAAATAACTAAATGAAATATTTGTTCTTACCATATATTAAACCGAGGCTATGTCTTGGCAGCTTCGGAAATAAATAGTCACTCCATTGCTTAGGTGTGGACGCTGTAATTGAACCAGAATGAGGATGGGGAAGCAGATGATATGGCGGTGGTGAAGACTTCACTTTATCTCTTCCCACTGCCGACTCTTCAAATGAATCTAACTTCTCTGCGATCACATGGACCCCACATTCTTTAAAGTGTACGGGTTCGACCTGCCAACCGATGCGCAGTGCATCCTCTGCTGGCTCTGAAGACATGCACAGTTCCAATTCGTCATCTGCACAGTAATCTTCCATTGCCATTTCACTTCTACGTATGTATCTTATCCATCCCTCAGTTTCTGCTGTTACTCGTGATTCTTTAAACAATTGAATACCGTTGCTTTTATTTCTTATAATAATAATAATGGCATTGTCTATGGCAGAATATCGGTCTAGAATGAAAAACCAAACAACTAAGCCATGGAAGACTGGAGGTATATGGAATGACAATAAGCATCCTTCTCCCCTGTAGCTCAACCAGTTTGGCATCTCACCACGAATATCGAAAATAAGATACTGGTGACGACCGTTGCACATTACCTGTATAAATATATTATCATAAAATCAAGAAATTAAAAATAAAACCAACCAGACTTTAAATATTTAGTAAAAAATATTATTAAATATAATATTTAATTCTTTAGATTAAATAAGAAAAATAAAAAATATTATTAAAGATGATATTTATTTTTTAAATAAAATAATAATAATAATGATTATTGCCTGTATACATATTAATTTCAAGGAATGCTGAGATTTTAGATATTAATCAATGTATGTGCCAATTGTGCGTGTTTACTTTTTGTGCGAAAGAGAAACTAAAAGAAATAGTACCTCAATAACGCTCTTCTGTAATTTATTCGGTGAATGATGTACCGTTCAAATTAATAGAACTGGTAACATTTATTCAAACTAATTTCTATTTTCTTGTTATTATCATTTAATTTGTTATTGCTATATACTGGTACATAATTTACGCTAGAAAGTAAATCATTATTCAATATCGATGACCTATAATAAATATTGATGTATGTGCTAATTGTGTGTTTACTTTTTGTGCAAGAGAGACTGAAAGAAATAGTACCTCAACAACACTCTTCGGTAATTTATTTCGTGAATGACTGTGTGCTTCAACAGTAAAATCCCAGAAAAAATAAATTAGATCTTCAATGCCCTGAATCTCTTCTAACGAATAACTGTCAAATAGTTCTATATATAGTTCTTTTTTTGGCTCGCTTGGTATTCTTACTCTTTTCAATGATTTGCAATGAGATGCAACCAAACACTCTAAACTTGAGGGAAGATCTAGGATTGATACAAGATATTCGCATTCGTAAACAGACAAACTCCATAGCTTGGGACAGAAGCCGATCCCAAAAGGCAGGCTAGAGAATTTGTTTCTTGATAAATCCAATACTTCTAGAGCGGACAAACCACTGAGATCAACACATTTAGTTGCGTGATCAGACAAACCAGCATTAGAAAGCTCAAGACGTTTCAATCGCAGCCATGGTTTCCCATTCAAAACACCTGCTGAAATCAAAGAAGAACTTGGTGGAGCCCAACTATTTCCACACAATGATAACCATCTGACATGCTTTAATTGTCCAATTGAAGAGAGAACTTGCTCATTTTCAATCCCATCGGCTAGCAGCTCGGTTAAGGATTCCATATCACCCATGCGTTCCGGCAATTTCTCAAGTTGTGAACACGAAGAAATATTCAGAGTTTTAAGAGACTTTACATTGCCAACGCTTTCAGGGAGAATCTTCAAACTACAACATCCATCCAGATTCAAGAACACGAGGCTCGTCAAATTTCCAATAGATTGATGGACTTCAACTAAACTTGAGCAACCTTCCAGCTTTAGTTTCTCTAGACCTGAACTGTGTAAGTTTGGTGTTTTAATAAGATTCCAAGAATAACTGAGATCAAGGATTTTTAGCTTGTTGAGAATCTGTCATAATAGAGAAAAATAATGAAAATTAATCATAGAAAGTCATAACATGTAAATATAAATTACATACTGGAGAAATTTTGGGAATTGTAGCATGTTTCGCACCTTTTTTCCCTCCCATAGTTCTTTGAGGTCACAGCACTGCATATCAAGAACAGCTAGATTGTCCAAGGCAAAATCGGATGGAAAATATTTCAAACGACATTCATGCCAACAAAGCCACATCAACTCTTTAGAAAGCAGTTCGAAGGATCCGGTGAGATGTACTCCATTGATTTGGAGTAAATTTAAGAATTTCATTTCTGCAAATGATCCTGTGCTCAGTGATTTAACTTCTGATGCTCTGACATCCAGTGCAAGACCCTCTACAACATCCGTACCCTAAAAAAAAAAATACAACTTTCATACAATTATTTGTAATAAGTGTGACTAGAAAATACGCATGACTATGCTTTCGTGTATGCATTGAGCTCTTACCTTCTGGTGGTCAAGTACATTCCATGCATCGTCTTTATTCCAAATTCTGGTCCTTTTTCCAAGAAGTAAGGGAGACGCATTACAGACGACCTCCCTTCCCATGTCCCGTAAAAGATCATGCATGGTTACCGTCCTTCCAGTTCTAGATAACAGCCTTTCATCTTCAATTATACACACATGAAATTGAATCAGAGACCTTTCACGGAGAGTTTCCAAAACTACTTCTGGATTGTAACAGCAACGGGCTCCTAGCACTTTTGCGACGTATTCTTTCTCTATACCAATAAAGAAGCATGCAATATCAAGGAATGCTCTTTGTAGTTCACCATCAAGTGCGTGATAACTTATTAGAAGCTTTCCTTGAATATCGTGGTTTGGAATTCTGCTCATGTTGTCAATTTTACTTTCCCATCTATCTTTGTTTTCCCTGTACAGAAGAGCTCCTATAACCTTAAGAGCTAAAGGAAGTCCTCCACAGAAATCAACGGCTTTCTTCGAAAGCTCAATGTAATCTTCTGCTGGCTTGTTGTCCTTAAAGGCATGCCTGCTGAAAAGCTGAAGGGACTCATCTGGTTTCAATTCTTCGATCTGATATGTTTGATCTGCTTCACGAAGAAGACTTGAATATCTTGTTGTAATAATTAGTCTACTTCTGGGACCAAACCAACTTCGATCTCCCATCAATGCATTTAGCTGGTCCGGATGAGCCACATCATCAGCGACAACAAGAACTCTTTTGCGACGAAGTCGCTCTTTGATCAGAACCTTTCCTCTATCAGCACAATCGAAGTTTGCAACATATTGATTTAAAATATCATGAAGAAGTTGCTTTTGTAAAGGAACAAGACCATTAACTTGTTTGGACCTTTCATTGACATCCGAAAGAAAACTGCTTCCCTCGAATTCATAGCATAGTTGATTAAATACAACTTGTGCTGTAGTCGTCTTTCCTATTCCTGGCATCCCATGTATGCCCACAATGCGTACATCATCTGTTGCAGTACTTAGAAAGTCAAAAATTTTGCGAGAAAGCCGATCCATACCTACTAGGTGCTCAGGAACATATAAGTACTTGGGTTCTAATTTATTCAACACATCCTTGATAATCTCTTTGATAAATTTTGCTTCATGCCTGCTCATAGAAAGAAATATTTTATTATTTCACATTGAAAAATTAATGTAATGTAAAATTACTCCATAAACATGTGCAAGTGAATCTTAGAGAAAAAAGGAATACCCATTTGCCATATCATTGAGACTCCATCCGGATAGGTTTCCGGCATCCTCAAGAGCTTTTCTCCACTCCTTCACCAACTTCTCTTCAAAACGCTCTTCATGCTTATCAAACGCCTCTGCAAAACTGCCAGTCTGTTTTCTCACATCTGAAGGATCAATGTCATAGAATATAGGAAGAACAATCTGACCGGTTTTCCTATTTTTGCACTTAAGAATCTCTACAAGTTCATTGAGACACCATCTAGAAGAAGCATATCCTTTTGAGAAGACAACTATGGATATCTTTGATTCTCGAATTGCCCTGAGGAGATGATGCGAGATTTCTTCTCCTCTTGGAAGTGCATCATCATCTCGAAAAGTGTGGATTCCTGCTTGGACCAAGGCAGTATATAGATGATCTGTAAATGTCTTGCGATTGTCTTCTCCTCTAAAACTCAAGAAGACATCATAGGCCCCTTCTGGTCTAGATCGAGAAGACTCTGGCTCTGTCATGGCAGCTGCAGAAATCAAGGCATTATCAATTACCAATGGAGCAATATAACGAAGAGTTAGCTATGAAATTCCAAAGCTATGATATTGAAATGAGGTTAATTGTATTCTTTATATAGGCTTTTGAATTCACTAAAAAACTGTTCATCATCTTTCTTGATTCTATTGTTTGCTATTAATAATGTACAGAGAAAGAACAAGGAAATTTCCTTCGTAAATTGCTAGGAATTTCGAGCGGTAATTTGCTCGGTTAAGTCATAATCTGCCCCAATTTTACAAGCAGAGAAGATGAGGCTAAATCAACCATAATTGTTTTTTCGATAGCCAGTGATGGGTCATGATTTTCTTAAAAAAAATTATTTAAAGACCATCAAATTATTTTTAAATATCAATCAAGACATTCAAGATAGAAAAATACTCAGATCATATTCAAGAAAATATCTCTATTTTCTTGTTATTTTTGAATTATTTACTAGTTACTTTTTATTTATTTTAATAGATTCATTTAGCTTTTATATAAATAGTTAATATTTTATTTTTGAAAACAATTTTAAAAATACTTGATTTTTTTGTTACAATTTAAAATTATAATCTTAAATATTGAAAATAATTTTGTCCTTCCCTTTTGTCTCCTCTAAAAACATAAAGTGAATTATAATTAATTAATAATTTGAACAATCTCAAGCATGCTTAATTTAATATAATTTCATTTTTAAAAATGCATTTTATTGTAAAAATTAAACTATTAAAATAAACTCTAAAATATAATTTATATTATGTTTTAATATACTTTCTTAAGAAAATCCCTTTTAATTGAAACCTGCACAATTATATATTGAAATTTACTGATGTGACTTAAAGTTTCCATAATAATAAAAAAAAAAGATTTCTTGCAAATTATTAGCCAAGCAATAATTGTCAAAGAGTTTTTAGAGTGGTAATTTAATTCGTGGTGGTTGCTGAGGGAGGATGTGATGCACTTTTGGAGTTAAGTAAAATCATATTTTTAAAATATTTCAATTTTTTTTATTGTTTTAAATTATGTTTTATTATTATAATGTATTGATGTTAAAATTATTTTTTAAAAAAATATTATTTTAATGCATTTTAAAAATAATTTAAAATATAATATTTATATGCATAAAATATTTATTGTCAAAGATCAAGCAATATTTATTCTTCACATAGGAGAAGGAGAAAGGATATGCTTTGTATTCATTTGCAGGAGAGAGCACCACAAATTTCGAGTCAAAGCAAGTCAAGTAGTAAAAGTTAGAAAAATTATATTTATTTATTTTTGATATTATCACATTAAAATAATTAAAAAAATATAAAAAATATTTTAAAACAAATAAAATTTAAAATTTAATAAAAAATAGGTTTCCAAGCCATATAATATCTATAAGTTTTTTTAAAAAAAATTCAAACATACTATTAGAATAAAGTTTGTTTATGTTATTTATGTTAGCAAATAAGTAGTAAATTGGTCAATCAAGATAAAAAACAAACTGGAATCATATTTAAAAAATATCTCTATTTTCTTGTTATTTTTGGATTATTCACTTGATTTTACTAGTTATTTTTTATTTATTTTAATAGATTCATTTAGCTATTATATAAATAGTTGATGCTTTTATTTTTGAAAAAAAATTTAAAAATAATTGATTTTTTTCTTAAAATTTAAAATTAAAATTTCAAATATTTAAAAACTCTAATTCTTTAATTTTCTTGCCAATACTTTGCAAGTAAGTCTGCAAGTAAGTCGGTCAATCACAAATTTTCAAATTATATACAATATAAAGTGCTAGGAAATTTATTTTGTGAATTAATTGAGATTTTGAGTCGACCTTTATTTGGACCAATCAAATAATAAATTCAAGTTAAATCAGCAAAATTAGGACCCAAAACAGTCTGTGCATTAACAATTCATTCAAAAGAGTTGTACAGTATTTTTATTATTTGTTTTAGGAGAGACTCTCCAACAATATAAAAAACTATATATTAAAACCTAGCATTATGCAATTCTAATACTATATTTTGAATAATTTTAAGAAAAAAATTATAATGTAATTGTAATTAAATTTTTAGAAATCTTAGAAAGAGGTTCTATATCCCTTTCTTGTTCTCTGATTTCACCTATATTTTATATTTATTAAGAATATTTTTTTATTTTTTATTTTTTTCTGTGTTTTTTGTTTTTTTCATTAAGAATGTTTTAATTCATTCTATTCTTTTGCTAGATATATCAGAATACAAATTGGTACCATTTATTCGATCTAATTCATATTTTCTTGTTACTATCCTCTAATTTATTATCACTAGAAATATAAAAAAATAAATATTTTTTTATATTAAAATAAATATTCCTTTTGATTTAAATAAAAGATCTAATTGAAAAGGCTTGTTAATGGCTTCTTTCTAATAAATTCAAAGGATGTACCATATATCTATTAAAATCATGATATGTTTATAGGTAATTTAAAAGTTTCAATTTAGTTTCAAAATATGAGATCCCATCCCATCATATTATGTTGTGTGGAACCATTTTTCTTCCTCTGCAAAGTTACCACAGCAACTGGGTCCACGCGTTAGCATTATTGAGGTCGAAAAGGTTACTGCTATTATTTTTCTTCCTCTGTTATCAAATTCTTCCAAGCTATTGTTGATCAATGTGCCAAAAACACAACAGAAAATCAAGCAAAGATTTTGATTCTCCTCCATTATTCTTCTCTCTGTGCTATTATTGTAACAATTTATTAAAGCAGTGCAAGACATTGAAAACATGGGTATCATGAAGTGACATGAAAATATCAGAAAAAATACACAAAAAAATAATAAAAAATATATATTTAGTATTGAAATTACACCAATAATTAAATATTATACATAAAAATTAAGTTTGAGAGTTTTTAGATCATAATTTAAGGTTGAATAGAAAAAAAGAAGAAGCTTATATTAGTTATAGAAAAAAAGAAGAAGATTATATTAGTTTAGTTTGGCTGCAATTAAAAAATAGAAATTCAAGAATGAGTTTAAAATGAATAACCAATTTAAAAAATCAATTAGAGATTTAATTGAAAAAAAAATTGAAACTGCAATTCATTTGGCTTAAAAATTTAGATTGGAAGAATCAATGACTGAAATGAAAAAAATAAAAAAAATTAAAGGAAAAGAGTTGAAAATTGATCAAAATAAAAGAATTAAAAGTCTAGGGATCGAAGCATAAAAGGTGCTAAAATATTGCGTTTAACGTAGTTCCACATGGCGTGTTTAGCATTATTCCATATGAAGAAAACCTAAAACAAAATGAAGTCTTTTCACATTAATTGAAATGGTGTGTTTTGCCTGGAAAAGGTAACAAAAAATTTTGATATTAAAAGAAAAATGAAAATGATGTCATTTTGTCTCTAAAATCTGATTTCCTTGAACATATATGGAAGGCTGCCACTTTTTTCCCTCTTTTCAACCCAATCCTCCTACTAAACCAAAAACACCTTCCTATAATCTTGAGCATACCATTGACGATCTTGAATAAGAAATCATATTTTCTACCCTGATCTCTCCCCATGAATCGAGCAAAAAAAGGTTGGTGGCCAGCATTTAAGGCAGTTTCCAGTCCAGAATTTCAAGTGGTAATTTCGAGTCAATGCTTAACATACCCTATCATAAGACTAATCAAATAATATATACATTGTAAAAAAATATAAAATTGAAACTTTGGAGTAAAATAGTAAAAGCAAGAAAAATATTAAACGAACTTTTGGAGTAAGGTTCGTTTATGCTTAACAAATGCTTAGCAAGTCAATCGATCAAGATAGAAAACATACTTAAATTATATTGAGGAGATATATTTATTTTTTAGTTATTTTTGAATTATTTACTAGTTATTTCTGATTTATTTTATTAGATTTATTTAGCAATTATATAAATAGTTGATGTTTTATTCTTGATTTTTTTAAAAAAATAATTGGATGTTTTTAAAAATTTAAAAATTTTAAAAACTCTAATTCTTTAGCTTTCTTGCAAATACTTTTTCAAGTCAAATAGTCAATGACAGTTTTCTAATAATGTACAAGAGAGAGCACATGGAAATTTTCTCCATAAATTGCTTGGAAATTTCAAACAGCAAATACTTAGCAAGTCAGTCAATGCAAGTCAGTCCAGCGACGATATTTTTAAAAAATTCATGTACATGAGAAAGTACTAGGAAATTTCCTTTATAATTTACTAGAAATTTTGAATGAAATCTCCGGTCAATGCAGTTGTATTATCTTTGGTCTCTATATTTACATACCGTTATCTTTATAAATATTTTCTCAGTTATTTTTTTTTTAATTTAGGTTAGAAATATTAATTTTTTTATACAATATTACTAAATATTTATAATTTTTTTTGTATTAAAAAGAAATATGTTTTCCATTTTATTTTTTTATTAAATATTATCAATCTCTTCTGGTTTTTTTTTTAAAAATAATTTTTCTATTTAACTGTTTCTATATATAAATGTCTATGTGCTATTATTGTAACAATTTATTAAAGCCATGGAAGATTTTTGGGCTAAAACAGTGCAAAAACTAGCTTTTATTTTCTTGTTACTATCATCTAATTTATTATTATTATTATGTATATCAAAAAAATAAATATTTTTTTTATAATTTACATGATGTACCTAAAACCATGATATGTTTAAAAATAATTAAAAAAATCTCAATTTAATAATTTTTATATAATTGTGTAAGCATGTTTTTTATCAATTTTATTTCAAACATAATTTATGCTAAAAAATGTTCATCATCTTTCTTGCAAATTATTAGCAATTCTCTTTAAATGAATATGATTTCCCTACGATCGCATGGACCTATATTCTTTAATGTGTACGGTTGGAATGGAACATCCATGCACACATCTTGAGAAGGTATTTGGAGTGCTGATTGCGTGGTGCTGCACACATTCTTTAATATTTTATTTTGTATGATTATTTTAAAAAGAGTACTAAATAAAATGTTATTTTACCATTTTTATTATTTTACATATCTTATAAAAATACTAAAATAAGATTTAATAGTTTTTCTTCACTAGTTTTTTTTTCCAATGATTTTTGTTAAATATATGTTTCTTGATTTGCTTTTTCCAAAATTATGGTAATTTCATAACATGTATCACGATAATTGTATCTGTTTTTAGTATTGAACTTAATTCACTAAAAAATATTCATCATCTTTCCATCAGATAATCTGCTAATCACAGCCTCGGGTGGAATATTTTTTTTGTTACATTTTTTTTCTTCTGATTTTAGCATATAGACTTATTCCACATGACAAATTAGTTTTTTATAGATATAAAATATGATAAATGAGACTTTAACATCAATTTTTTTGGAATAATAAATTCTTTTTTCAGTTACTTTAATTTAGTTTAGAAATTCTTTTTTTTTCGATTCAGTACAATAAAACTTTTATATTTGTTTATTTAAAAAGAATTATTTTTATATTTTATTTCTTACTCAATATTATCAAGCTTTTCAACTTTTTCAATTTTAAAAATAATAATTTCTCTATTTAGTTTTTTCTATATATATATATAAACTGTAGTAATAGTAATAGTCTAGCTGTAAGACTGGACACGGCATGTTTTCGCTTAATTCGGTATGCTCTTAGCACTTATTTGGCATCCCCTTGGGAAGAATTATGATTTATGAAATTAGTTGGATCCCACCTGCTGGGAGAAGCTATGAAATTACGGCGAGCTGAAGAGTAAAGTAAGAAGAAGGAATGCTATTTCTTCTTCCAAATAATCAATAATCAAGTGTCGACGGTCAACCAAATTATTTCTATTCTGTACAGTACAAGTGATATTTCGTTGATAAGTGAGAATCTAAGAGTAAAGTTCGTTTACGCTTAACAAAGACTTGACAAGTCGGTCAATCAAAATTAAAAACATACTCAAATCAGACCTAAAAAATACATTTATTTTCTTGTTATTTTTTGTTATTTACTTGATTTTACTAGTTATATTTAGCTATTATATAAATAGTTGATGTTTTATTAAAAAAATTAAAAATAATTGATTTTATTTTACAATTTAAAATTATAATTTCAGAAATTAAAAAATTCTAATTCTTTTAGCTTTCTTACCAATACTTTGCAATTAAAAACCAGTCCATGACAGTTTTTCTAATAATATACATAATAATATACAGAGAAAGAACAAGGAATTTGGAGCGGTAATTTCACAGTGGTGGCAACACCTGGGTC